TTGGATAAGGTTGGCTCCTTCCGATAAATTGTTATTTTTTATACTAATGGCTCTCACAAAATCATCATACGTCTGATAATACTATTTAACGTGACGGATTGAATATAAGCGTACATTAGTATAAACGTCAATAAATCAGTGGTATGACTATAACAGCTACAATATTCCAATAGGTGGCTTTCACATCTGTTGTTAATGTGCAAAAGTACTTTCCTGATTATCAACGGTGCCATCTGTTTCATGTAGTATACGTGTTCCTTTTATTTGCATTGTTCATCGTTGGTGGTGTGTGAAGCAGCCCCATGCAATAGAGCACGAACTAGGATGGGCATAAATTGTATAATACAAAGGCTTGACTGAATTATATTACCGATGATGGCACTTATATAGGGAAAATGTGTTTCATTTATCACTGAGCATTATAACAATTGTTCCATTGTTGTCATGGTTTCCGAAGAGACCAACAGCAAGGTGAGGTTATATGAACCGTAAGGCTCTAAACTTACCAGAAATGTAATCTGTAATTTTACCAATTACAAGTAAGTTATTTCTATATAAAACTTATCTTTAAATATCGATTTAATTGTCAGTGCTCATACAATATTACGCAAAATATAGAAAAGAAATTACGGAAGTTGAAAAGCAAATATAAATACAAAAATTAATTATACTGACTATGGTATCGAGACTCAAATATGATAATTGTATTTGCGTTGTTTACACACTAAATCCAAATATCAACTCAAGAAGACTCAAGATCATTATCCCATGCATATGTGAACATGAACATACCAAAACAAAAAAAAACTAGTACTGGTATCCAATAATCCTGAAAGATTTTCGAAGGGAACACGATCTTCGCAACAAAACCGAAGATAACCAGGTCCAAATACAGAGCATCCATGTGTACATGGTCGTCACAACGAAATGATGGCACCCAGGGATCACGAAAGATTGTCTGATGTATACATGGTCGTCACAACAAAATGATGGCACCCAGGGATCACGAAAGACTGCTGTCTGATGTATACGTGGTCGTCACAACAAAATGATGGCACCCAGGGATCACGAAAGATTGTCTGATGTATACGTGGTCGTCACAGCAAAATAATGGCACCCAGGGATCACGAAAGACTGTCTGATGTATACGTGGTCGTCACAACAAAATAATGGCACCCAGGGATCACGAAAGATTGTCTGATGTATACATGGTCGTCACAGCAAAATACTCATGGACCATGAAATACGAAGATACCTCATAAAAAGTGGATCTACCCAGTTCTTAACAAAGAGTGTTATTTGTGGCTATTATTCCCAACGGGAGGTAGACTATGCCTAGTTAATAACAGAGACTATCCCCACATGCACACGCGACAAAGTATAGAACAAATGCACAGCAAAGGCTATCCCATGTGTCTCCCAAAAACAGAGTTGTTCCACGTGAAAGGAACCAACAACATACGAACTCAAGTTACTTATGAGATTTTCGTGTTGAACTAGCTGCTGAACACTAAGTAGACTCTGCCAAGAGAACATTAACGGCTATCAATTTGTTTCAACAATGCCAAATCGACACCAAGTCTGAAGGAAATGGACACTGGTCGATGTTCGAGTAGGTTCATCCACGCTAATAAATCATAACTTCAGTCATTTACATTGTGAATAATTCATCAACCATTCTATCAAAATTATCGTAATCCATCAAAATGCTCATCAGTCAACACTCACGCAGTAGTGATGTCTAATAACCGTTGAGTACCACAGAGGCGATCGCATGTGACCTGATTCGGAACTGCTGCATCAGATACATCGCTTAATGAGTTGTTAGTAATTAAAAGGTACCGTCTGCATTGCAATGACCTTCATGTGCAATGAGCACAGTAAAACGAGTAATGATGTTCTCTGTTCCAGTAGGAGTAATAGGGATGGGATACTTGTACAGCGAGGAGAATAAAAAGGTCAAATATATGCTCACTAAGAAATCCGTTCTAGAAGACCTTGGAAGGATACAGGTACCCGCAATATGGACAAAGATCAAATATACGTTCATGAAGTTATCAGTTCCAGGAAGTCTGTGAAGGTATCCGTAACTTACATGAACAGTGAAGCACGTTAAAATGTCAATTATATACATGTGAAATTATATGCTCCCGGTCAAAATGAGACAACATACGTCAGTGTTGATTACCTAATTTCCGAGAATGTCCTTCTTTGCAATATTTTGAAACCATCTCATTATTTCATGAAACACTTGTGTCGTGAAAAATATTTTTCTTTCGACCTTATTTCCTATGATGGTTAGATATTATATACACTCAGAGGTAGACAAGTCGTATATCAGATGAACCCTGGCGTGACCTTTGTATAGTGTTTAGTGTTTTGTTAAGAAAGCTATGCTGTTGACATTCAACAATGACTAAACTTATCGACAGTTAGGAATGTTATTTTTGTTTGTTTTTACAGTGTGTGCATGTTATGTGAATCAATTTGACTTAAGTGCATAAATGACCTAAGAGCAGAGTAGTGCTGTGTGTCTTAAAATGAACAAACGATTATTTTTCAGGAAATATGAATGAGTGGCGAGAGCTACCGGAAGGTCAGGACATGGCAAGCCGTTATTACTAACACCTGGTGTTATCACTGATATTCAGTGAGTCGCTCATATAATCTTCACGGGTTTTTGCTTTATTCAATGGAATTAGTTTCGTAGATACTCCAGACAGGGTGTTCTCTTGGGTTGAGTTTAATATTTCAATCAGGGATCCGTCTGCAGGCCACCTTCGTACAATTAACAATCGTCAATAATGACGAACTCTGGCCACTCAGCCTGAATTGCCGAATACTCTCGTACTACTTCAGTAAAGATTCACTTAACCAATGGTTTAACGACTGCCTCGTAGATCAATATTAGCTTACACAATTTCGAGCAAGTGACACATCATCATGTTCGTATCTCGCCCCAGCTCACCCTACAAACATTCATGGCAAGGTTCGTACTTCGGACTTTCATAAAAATGCCTCATGATAGGACTGAAATAGTATTAAAAACATACTTATTACCATGTCGTGACAAATGTATAATTCTGTGGTCAATATATTACTTCAGTGACACGTGTGTATTAGATAGAATAACGCTGTCTGGATCATCCGCTGACACAGATTTCAATTCATATAGGCGTGAAAAATTAACACCTGTCACTATATTTTTAACATTAAGAACTGCACATCCTGACTCCAGGTAAAGCGCTCTGATAACACTGTTGGTTTTTGTTGTTATTGTTGTTTTGTTTCGTTGTTGTTGTTTTTTTTTTGGTGTTTGTTTGTTTTTGTGTGTGTGTTTGGTTGTTGTTGTTTTGTTGTTTTTGGGGTTTTTGGGGTGGGTGTGTGTGTTTTGTTTTGCCACGCTGCCTGAATATGATCGTGTCTGGACCAGTCAGTCCAGTGATCAATACCGTGAACATCGATCTATGCAGTCAGGGTACGAGGATGCGTTGTCAACCAAGTCAGCGAGCCTGGTCACCCGATGGGGCGGTGGGGTAGCCTAGTGGTTAAAGCGTTGGCTCGTCACGCCGAAAACCCGGGTTCGAATCCCCACATGGGTACATTGTGTGAAGCCCATTTCTGGTGTCCCCCGCCGTGATGTTGCTGGAATATTGCTAAAAGCGGCGCAAAACTAAACTCAGTCAGTCAGTCAGTGGTCACCCGATCCACCCGATATCCTCTTATGACGAGGTAAGAAGCACAAGTAGGAGCAATTCCAAATACCATGGATTAGTGATAACGACCTAATGCTCCTTCCGATCTTGCACGGTGTCAGCAAACCAGCCAGTAACACTGATTGATCTACAATACATTACCTGAGTATGTATGTTTATCAGAACCGGCATCCTTCACTAAGCATTGCAGACAAAAAAATCCAGTCAGCTTACTTTACCATCACCAACACCTGATTGTGACGTCCACGTTAATTTATCATAGTAGAACTCTCAGGGATACAATTGCTAAATACAATGAATACAATTTCAATGACTTTCAAATGATCATTCTACAAATTGAGTGAGTGAAATTGAGTGAGTGAGTTTTGTTTTACGCCGCTTTTAGCAATATTCCAGCAGTATCACGGCGAGGGACGCCAGAAATGGGCTTTACAGATTGTACCAGAGTCGGGAATCGAACCCGGGCCTTCGGCGTGACGTGCGAACGCATTAACCACTAGGCTACCCGACCGTCCCTTCTGCAAATTCAAATTTGGAATTCACTTAGTAAAATTTACATTGAAAATATTTTTATTCCACAACAGATAAATGTTAATCATTACGGAAGGTAGATATATAGATTAGTTTTTTGCTCTTACAGAGCCGTTTTTTAGTCGTATTACATTGTGACAAAAAGCTGTCTTACCAAGCAACTGAGTCTCAGAAAATAGTTTTTGTGGGCCTGGTAATTTTTTTGCTAGCAGTTGGTTTACAAAGTAACTGACACTAGTCACGGAATCGTATCGGAATATCTACAAAAAAAGGTAAAAAAGGAAAATTGATGCGAAGAGTCGACGGAACAAATGAATAATTTGTTCTAGTTTAACGCGCCTATTTTATACGGTCACTGATACCGCAGCTCAAGTGACTGAGAATTTGATAAAAACGATCAACCACATTTCATTCTGCCTTCACAAACCTCGGGGTCTGTTATACACCATTCTGAACAAAGTGAGTTATGTTTTAGCTTGACATAGAAAAAGCGTTACTTACAGATAACTGGTACATTAATAACTAGCTTGCCATGCTGTAAAAAGTTGTTTATATGCCAAACCTACAGATCCTGACACCTTAATCGCAATGGGAATATAGTGCAGGTTCATACGTTCTCGGTGTCTTGGACATAAACCTAACCATGACCTGATACATTAATACATAATGCACACATAAATATATTTAAATAAAAGCAATCCAGATCAGATCCAGTGACGAACCCATGCTAGGGACAAAAGTTTAAATGCCATATCGATCACACATCCTAATGGGCAGTCCAGTACGGCTTCAGTGTTCCAAGTCTCTAAACCACTCCTCTGTCTAACAGGTCTAACAGGTGCCTTGCATCAGGCCCGTATTGTACTCGATGATTGAATGAATCTGCAATTTAGTTCATACATCAATACCTGCGTTGCCATGCTTCTTCTTCCAGTATTTATAGCGTATTAGCTATTCTATTGCGCTCACGACCAATTCCGCAACCAGTTGCTTCCACGCACACAAGCCAATGGACACTGGCTATCGACGTCCACTTCCCACCCCTGTCTGACCGCCGAACGACTGTCGATATACACATGTATCGACCACAGAGCCAGGTGCCTCGCGCTATCCGTGTGAGGATTCAGAGCCAGGCTGGGTATGCGAGTGCGCTCTATCCTCCAATCCTCCCAACATTGGCTGGCTGGCCGCTGCCTTCATCGGCTGCGACTCGTCAATGAGCAACATCCGGATATATTGGCAGTTGAGGAGCGAGTTCTACTACAGCCGGCACTACTGTTACGCCGCTCGGGACTTAACGATTGTATAAAGATCCTTGCCTAAGGAGGATGGTTTTAGGAAAACGTATTGACGTCTCTTGACAAGAAAGTTTGTTTGAGTTATAAACTTTCGTCAAGCGATGACTACAGGCGCTGTACTCGCTACCTCTGATGTTTCTTCATTTGGGTGCGGTTCACGAGCGACGACGTCGACGACGACGCGAGGACGGTGCCAACCGAGGTGACACGCCTGGATGAAATGTTCGCTATCTTGATGTTACTATCCGCGAATCTTCTCACGGATACTTCAGCTGAAATTTGGAACTCAGCCTCTCAAGTGGCTGTGGTGGTGGTGTGTGACGCTACCACCTCCACCCACTGTGCCAACAGCGTCGATCTCCTGGAAAACACCGTGGGCTTTCTCAAACAGGGTTGCGAATACAATCTCAACGGATCACTGTACATTAAAGATCGGTTGGTTCCACAGGATTTACCCGACTTGGAAGCGTACATCATCACCACTAGAGCTTCGTTTGTGTTGGCGTTTGGAACCACTGGAACTATCCAAGCAGTATCTGTGTTAGCAAAGGGGTTGGGTCTACCACTGCTTGGTTACATTACGGCTGGCGACAAAAGAGGGGTAAGCTTACTTTCTTTAAAACGTACTTGTGTAACATGTAAAACATATCTTTTCAGCTGGCACATATTTGTCATAACGCAGTTGGTAAGTGTTCAGACCATAGAACAACCAGATAATTCTATGTGTGATATATAATTATTTCACCTACATTCCTTTTCTCTGACATCAGGGCTTATTAATTTTGTAATCATTCACCAACGACATGCAGAGATTGGAAACATACGGATTACCTTAATCTGATTCCAACACTGAAGTTTGTTCCAAGTGATGAAAATATGGCAAGGTACAAAAGTATACTATATATCGGACGCCTGACTGTGATAAGCATGATGGTCAAGGGTCCAGTTCCTCACAGACGAGCCTTTAATACATTATCGGAATGGGCATTGTTTGTGGAAAAATACACGCTACGCCTAACGAGATGCTGTGTGTTTTGGGCCTTCACTGTCCTCACAATCCTTCTAATGTACCTTGTGTACACAGCTGTGTCCCGAGGCAAAGCAATATCAACGTTGACAATAGGTGATGCTCTCACACCATCATAGAGTAACAGGCGGTGCAAACACTCTTGTTATTCTAGTTTAATGACACAAACATATATTAGGTATATAGATTATTAGAGATTATTAAGGTTATTTTAACATAGACTTCTTGTAAAGAGGATATGCTTTCAATTCTGTATCATCATCATTATCATCGTCGTCCTCGTCATCGTCAACATATTCTGAGTTATCGTTTGATTTTATATTTTTTTTACCTACAGGGCTGGTTGCAGGTGAACTGTTTAATATTTATTATACTTCTCCCTAAACAGTTAACTTTCATTATTACAGTCCCCAAGCGATTACCCGTGACCTCACTGAAACAGTCATATTTTGCAAACTGAAAAATCGATAGTCATCCATAACATTAACATAATTATTCAATTTCACCGAGAAAGACGTTTAATTTTCTTGTTCTGAAATTGAGTAAAATGCATAGGTTATCTTGATATGTCCGGTTTCACAAAGCGTTCTTAACTCTTATAACTTGCGTAGTCCACACGCAACAGGTCGCAGCGCTAAGATCGCTTTGTGAAATGGGCCCCTGAACTGATTCATGTAAGTCACGGCATGATCCCTGTAACTGAAGACCTGTCAGAAACAGAATCAGATTCATTTTGGCCTAGCGTATTGCTTATTAATCACGGAAATAACCATTAACAACATTTGTTTAAACTGTGATTTCAAAAAAACAATATATATATTGGAAAATATGGCCAAAGCTAGAGAAAACATGCGCAAGCCACCAACTAAAACAAGCTACAGTATGTAATCAGACCCACTTTGTGATTTATTTGAAACAGTGTACACATGAGACATCGATTTAAAGCAAATGTAATATTTGTTAACAAAGTAAATGATAATGTCAACACTATGATTGTTATCATTGCACCTATGTCTCCTCGTGGATAACAAAGAAAATGATACATAGGTGTTATCACATTGCACCAATGTACGGATGTGTTTTCACAGCTATGGGGAGTAATGCATCGTTAAACAACACCGTATCACTGGTTCCCTATCGCTCGTAACATTTTTACAAGTAAATTTTATTTTTCATAGATGCTTAGATGGCTAAAGCCACCGGCCAAATTAATTGGAAAGTGTAGCTTTTAAAACATGTTACTGCATCACAAGAAGAGCCAAAAATCGATTTATTTCTATTACGAACAATTCTTTATTCCTCGGCGTTCATTGTGGCACATTTGGGTTCTAATTACTCTTAATCGTCTTCCGGTGGTATGCTTTGTACCAATATTTTATGCGTCGTTATAAGCCAGTATCCAAGAAGGTTTTGATGAGTTCCAATACACCTTAAACGACTTTGCTGCTTCAGTCATGAAACTTGAGACGTTAGGACTCTGTGTGCATGATATCAATACAACATGACATCAATACAACATAATATCAATACAACATGACATCAATACAACATGACATCAATACAACATAATATCAATACAACATGACATCAATACAAGGCTATACGAAATCATTTGCAAGACTGTGGCGACATTATTGTACGTACGGTTGTACAAGACTACGTTATCATCCACTGCACGGGATACACATGCCATTGGCACGTTTCGTATATGTGTGTGGATGGCATCAACGTGGGGTCAAACATGAATTACACGATGTAAAAGAATAACCTGGCAAGATTATACGCAACGTCATTATGATATTACTAGAACGCAAACATTTCAAACATAAAGATCGTGAAGATCCGGGTTAGAACTGGTCTTCAGGGCCTAGATTTTCGAAGCTCTCTTAGCGCTAAGATAGTCGTAAGTGTCATACATTAACATAGACTTACGACTATCTTAGCGCTAAGAGAGCTTCGAAATTAATCTTCAGTAACCCATGCTTGTCGTAAGAGGTGACTAGCGGGATCAGGTGGTCAGGCTCGTTGACTCGGCACATGTCATCGTCATTGCGTCGATTTTTACTTGATGTTGATCACTGATTGTCTGGTCATGCTGTTGATCAGACTGCCGCCATGTAGCTGGTCCCGACTCGATTATTTACAGACCAACGCCAATATATTTACTGTAATATTGCTGAGTGGTCGGCGTTGAAACAACAAACCAGACCAACAAATCAATCTGGATAAAACGCAATGACATCATGCCAAAACGTGGTTGTCACACTGCGTTATTTCTAATATTAAGTGAGGTATAATATTAAGTGAGGTCAAACACATGAAACATAAATTACCAGACGTCAAGACATTAATCTGGATGAGCCGCAATGACATCAGGATATTACCTGAAGTGAAACGTGTCACCCATACATTACAGTGTTCTAATGGCATTGTACACTGCGTTATTATAATATTAAGTGAGGTCAAACAGATCAAACATATATTACATGATATCAAAACAATGATCTGGAAAGATTGTATTGGACTTCATTAGAGCGTGATGTTAGGTCACACATATCAAGAATAAATTACATGATGTCCAAACGATGATCCAGCAAGGCTGTATACAACTTCATTATGATATTAATGGAGGTAATACACATCAACATAAATTACACGTTATCAAAATATGATCTGGCAAACTACCATTAGCACTAAGTCGATACATGTCATGGTCTCACAGATTTATGCATGACGTCAAGCACTGTTCCACCGTCAGTCAAACGGTTATTTATGATAGCATTGGGATTAAAAGACAAACAACGTCCAACAAATGGGATGATTAGAATGCAACAGTTTTACTGCATACGTGCAGTACGTTTGTGTGTTGATTGCTGTTGCCATAGTGATCAGATGAGGAGACCTGACAATGTATGGCCTTGGATATTTACGATACTCATATCGTTATTCACTCGCGTCATTCTAACGCGCAGATACCGGAAGTAGACGAGTGGTTATAAACACTAATGTGGTCATATATCACTGATTCAGTGCCGTAATAGATCTCAATCAGGTGACGCAAGACAGACTCTGTAGCATCAATCACTCTCGTCTTACGCCATTGGAATAAATTGTGAAATAAAACTGTCATTTCCAGATTGAGTTAAGTGGTTTAAGTTTGCAAGTACAGTGAGCGTTGATTGTATGTTGACGCTACACTGAGTGCAGTTAGCACTGGTGTCAATCGTCGCCGACCGTCTAGTTTGACACTCAAGTGGCCACGTCTGTAAGACGTCATGCCGACGTTAATCGCACCTCGGTACTATTAAGCATGATGTATGGTTTCTCAAATAGTCCTCTTACACAAACCGTACACATTTGTCAGTGACATGGGTGTAAACAAAACCAGCATAAAGCGTGTCCAACCTAAAAGACTGTGTAATTGCTCAATAAAATGACTGCTCAAGGGCCGCATGCCCATTTCCCTTTGATAACAAACTTTGACAAACTAACACCTTTTACCCAAAGATAACTGAAGGAAATTTATTGTAGGGAAGGGAATATTGAGGAAATGCGTTATACGGTAGGGTACCTTACAGAGAAGCATTATAGGGTGAATACCTAAAGGGATTGTAGGATAGAATATCTTGAGCTGATGTATTGTAGTGAGTGAGTGAGTGAGTTAAGATTTAAAGTCACATCGACAATATTTCAGCAATATCGTCACTAAAAATAAGTAGTAATTCTAGAATAAATAATGGTTAATTTTGAAAAAAACTGTCAGCGAAGGACAGTAAAACTAACCAGAAGATTACAAATATGAATAGAAAACTAGTATGTAACTTAGCTTAATTACAGAAGACAATACAATATAAAAACAGGATATATATTGCCAACAACTGAAGGTAGATCACCATACTATGATGTATTGTAGAGAAGGTTAACGTCAGACGAGGCATTCTATGGCAGGGCACCTTAAGGGGATGCAACATAGGGTGGGTACCTTAAGAATATGTATTGTGGGATAGGTTACCTTAAGGAGATGCATTTTGGGGTGAGTACCTGAAGGAATGGCGTTGTAGCCGAGGAAACAGACAAACCACAGGGACCTCTTTATGGTCCTATCCATCCTTGGGTATTGTTTGAAAAATATTTTTGATCAGTATCGTTCATATGTCTATCCATGTCGAAGATCCTAGTTATCTAACGACCGTGTGAACAGTACTATTCATTACCTACCCATACAAAAATGAACCGTCACTCTTTGTGTCGCTCAGCTCTTTAAGTCACATTTGGTTCCGGGGTTGGTGTTAATCTATTATCTATAAAATGTTTTATTAGAAGGATAAGGGAAAGCGATGGGAGATTCTCTGTGATCCTTCCATCGAGGTCTGTAACGACGATTCCTGCGTGCTGCCGCTCCCAAATACAGCACAGTCCCTGCTACACATCAAATGTCGACACATTTGGAAGGTTTCCATTTCTCTATTTTCGGGCAAGCTGAATATTGACACAGTGAGAGGCATATTTCTTTCATTGACTCCCCTCGCCGATCCATGTAAACGAAGGGAGCTCTCCCCACCACTAATAATCAG